CTGGAAATATGAGTGAAATTATCAGACTCGTGAAAGGGAGCTGATTGTGTTGTGCCGGCTGAGGCTGCAGTGACATACTGCGAAGGCTGCTCCATCATTGCCACGTCGTTGTCAGAAAATAGTATTGGATGATTGGCATTTTCATACAAAGAAGGATGTTGGCTTTTCTCTGTTGCTTTTAAGCCGAGAAAATGCTTCAGTCGATCAGGAAAGGTCTCAACTTCTTCTCCGAGAGTAGCCTTACTGGAAGAAGGCAACGATTGCTTGGGATCTTCCATGATGTCAAAGACTGACAGTCCTATTTGCTGTAGAGAATGCAGCTGAGACGGAAGAACTCCTTTAGCATCTTCTGAATTGGTCCTCACAACAGTGGTTGGTGGTCCAATCAGTTTTTGTTGTAGAGGAGCCTGTGTTTCCGGAATTAAAGACATTCGAAATTGATCATCCCTGGGAGTAGCTGCTTGTTCACTGGACGGATGATGCTGTCGATAATCCACTGGGTTACGAACCGAACTTAGGATCACCTTTTCTCGACTAGAAGGAGCGTGTTGGAATTCTCCAACTTTTTGTAAGTTTGAAAATGGTTCGTTTAGCGATTGATGAGCTGCTGTGTCTGAAAATAGTAACGGAGTCACTGATGGTGACTGATATGGCACTAGCTGCCGGCTACTGGCTTTTTCATTAAAAATCGCTGCAGATGATAGCTCGCTGGGAAAGCGTTGTTCTTGGAGAGATGTTGCAAAAACGGGGTTAAGAGAAGCTACAGTTGCTGATTTTTCAGTTTTCGCTATCTCATTGGCAAATGGTTGGTATAATTGAGTTGTTGGCAGTGCCACTGGAGAAGGTTTATTTGCAGCAAGTGCTCGTGCTTGAGAGGAATCCTCTCCACTGAAACTCAGTGTTCCTGAAACTTTGTTAACGTCTTCCTGCGTCAGTCCACTAGCGCCTGTTTGATCAAAACGTGGAGTCAAATGACTTTTTTCGTACATGCAGTTGGGATCACATTTAGGCATGCACTCAGTAAGGCAATTGTTCACAGTGATAACATGGGATTCTGTGACTGTCTTAATCCTGGTTTGTCTTTGCTTTAAAATGGGAAACATTTGCATACATTTCCGTTCACAAGGTTGGGCACATAAAGAAGTACACGTGCCAACTGTGAACATATTCGTACAAGACATTCCACACGACTGCCGGCAAATAGGAAGACATTGATCTACTGCAACAACTTTGGGCATCACTACGTGAATGGGAATGACGTGTTGATGCATGCATGACTGGGAACACGAATATCCACAAGTAGAAGGGCAAGTGATAGCGAATACGCTACGAGCACAGGTGGAAGTGCAAATACGTTGGCATGCAGCTTGGCACTGTGGAAGGTGATATCGCAAAGCACAAGGACAGGCAGATTGGAATGTAGGTTTTA